ATGTGTGAATGAATAATGCTGAATGTAATGATCTGTAAAGCGTCTTTGTGACAAAAAAAATAAAATGTCTGTGAAAAGCGCTATAAAAATAGGGACTTACTTACAACTGTACAACAACTCACCCTTATCTACCAGATAATCCTCCAAACAACTGTACAACTGTGACAGGCATGGAATCCGCATATCATTCGTTCATTCGTTTTTTTTCAAAATAAAACCAAAAAGAAGAAAAAGAAAAAAACAACTGTTTGCTTCATTATTTGTCTCCAAAACCAAAATGAAAAAACGGATAATGATTCGTTTTTTCAGTTTTTGATTTTGTGTTTAAATGAATAATGGAAAAAACAGATAACGACTTCTGTGACTGCGATGCTGGACTTTTGCACTGCATACGGACTGAACCAGACCGGAACAAGACCGGGACTGAGACCGGGACCAGACTGGGACCAGAGTGGGACTGAGACCGAGACCAGACTGGGACCAGAGCGGGACTGAGACCGAGACCAGACTGGGACCAGACCGGAGGCTCAGAGCCCATGGTATGACCGGAGCTCAAAGCTGAGGCTCGGACCCTGCGGAGGATCAGAGTCAAACGTCGGAGTCCGCTCTGGTCCCGCTCTGGTCCCACTCTGGTCCCGCTCTGGTCCCACTCTGGTCCCGCTCTGGTCCCGGACCTGGTTCAGACCTGGATCAGTTCTGGTTCAGTCAGTATGCAGACCTTGCCTTGGGAGCTCTCTGATTGGTTGATTCATGTGTGTTGGAAGCTCTCTGATTGACCTTCACATGCGTCAGGATCTCTCTGATTGGCTTTCACATGCATCGGGAGCTTTCTGAATGGCTGATTAATGTGCATCATGTTCTCTGATTGGCTGATTCACATGCTTTGGGAGCTCTCTGATTGGCTGATTCACATGCTTTGGGAGCTCTCTGATTGGCTGATTCACATGCTTTGGGAGCTCTCTGATTGGCTGATTCACATGCTTTGGGAGCTCTCTGATTACCTGAGTCACATGCATCAGTAGCTCTCTAATTGGTTGATTCATGTGTTGGCAGCTCTCTGATTGGCTTTCATTTGTGTTGGGAGATCTCTGATTGGATGATTCACAAGCTTTGGGAGCTCTCTGATTGGCTGATTCAGATTTGACGCAAGACTATAAACCAGTCTTAAAACAAAGTCCTGCCATCCATCTGGGAAGTGAACCCAACCTATTGTAGAAATCAATTAGCCGTGACATCCCTGTAGAGCGTGATTTGACTAAAAGAACCAGCTTCAGGCCTGCAGTACACAGCTCCACTTTCCCACTCCTTTTAATGACTTGAATTAGCCCCTCAATGCTTCCTCTGCTCGCATCCTAACCACTCTCAAAGGACCCTATCTGGCTTCCTTTTTGTTCGTGCTTCCTTCTCTCCTCTCCTCATCCCTCTCCTTTCACATCCCGTTTTCACGTCCTGCATCGCTCTTACTAACAACCTGAATTTCACTGACGATGCCTTCACTGCCCTCGCGGATTTTATTATTTCTTGCAGCCCATTAGCGTGTAAAGGAACTGCAAATTAGCGCCTGTATTTGAGGATTCATTCATTCTGGGAACATCTCGCTGAGCTTTTCATACAAAATGTCCCGAAAGTGGCAGCATGTGCAAAGCAGTGGAGACTAATGGACTGGTTTGTGTGGGTGTTTTCAATGGTGTGAGTTTGTAGTGAATAGGAAATAGTATCACAAAAGGCACCAAGAGATTCTACTCGCTTTGGCTGTGATCAAAAAGTTTTTATTTTTTATTTCTTTTTTATCACTGTAACCTTTATATTGTTAGAATATGTATCTTCATATACAGTGCCAGCTTTTCTCATTTTAATTCATTATCTATACTGGTTAAAGCCACACTATGTAACTTTACCTTCTACCATCTGCTTGGCTCTATGATTGTTATTCCCTTTCCTGGAATGTAAAACAATATAACATTAAATTTATCTAGCTTGCAATCCTTTCTTTCGTTATTTCTTTCTTCAATTGTTTTTTAGGCCTGGTCAAAAAACGTATTACAACAAGGCAAGTTTATTTGTGCACAAATTGCACTCAAAACAATTCCAAGTGCTTTACAGAATAAGGAATACATTTAATTCACATGACAAATAAATTAAAACATAAATAATCATCATAAAATTAACATTAAAAGAGAAAAGTGAAGACTGTGGAATAAAAAACCTTTAAGTCATATGCAGCTAAACAGAGTTTTGATCCTGGATTTAAACAGTGTCAGAGTAGAGGCCTGTCTTACATGTTCAAGACATGTTCAGGTTTTAGCTGCAAAAAACTCAAACACTGACACAAAACTTAGCATCAGGTGAATGTAGGAACAAAAGGGGACCCAGTTCAGAGCCCTGGAGTACACGTACATTTAAAGCTGAGGTACCTGACTTTATTATTGTAAACTGATTTTTTTTCTCTCAAAGAGTATATTGTAAAAGCAACACTTAGGGGAGTAAAGGAAGCTATTATGCCCAAATATGCATGCCTGGAAATCCAGAAGGATATCTCTCTTTATTTCTTACACAGATCCATTTGCAATGAGTCTGAATTTTTCCAGGCCACAAATATGCAGGCTTTGTGTGTTAAACATGTGTGAATGAAACACAACACAAACTCTGGGTATATACAACATAGATCAGAAAATAGCACAATATGGTCCCTTTAAATTAAATTAAATTAAATGTTATATATATATATATATATATATATATATATATATATATATATATATATATATATATATATATATATATATATATATATATTTTTTTTTTTTTTATATTACACTAGATATACAGCACATACTATCTCTGTCCCTCCGGAGCGTTGCACTAACCTTGGCAAACTGTGTACATGTAGTTGGTGAACTGGAATTATTGACAAACATCAACATATAGCAACATCATAGTGTTTATGTTATTTTTCTGATGCGGTTTCTCTTATATTGATCTACTGCCTGCACCGTCTAATGTTTTGTAATATAGCCTAAAAGAGAGATTTTTAGAGTTCATTTTGCCCTAGATCAGGCCTGGAATAATCCTATTATAAACCTGATCTGGCCTAATATAACGAAAATACAAAAATCCACATCAAAATGATTTGATTAAAAGACAGATTTTTGGAACCTTCTGCCTGCACAGTCACATGGCAGAGCACAGAAAGCTCCATGTTTACAAGATGGGATGCAATGGAGCCTGTTAGCATCCACTGTTGAATATGCTGTTTTGTGTATTCTTTGCATATACTAGCTATGTTATTGCTGCCATGTATATTTATGGATATCATTATTCAAGTGGTGCCAGTTCTTTTTCTTTTTGTATGCTGCGTATACAGGCTGTAGCATCCTTCTCCTCCTCCACAAGGACAGGTGAAGTTGTGAATCTAAATGAAAACAAAACTTTTTTTTTTTCTTTTTAAATTGGCACAGTGATTAGAACAAATCTGAGGAAGTTCTACGGACTCAAAAAACATACATCCTTCCTTATAAGTATTTATGGATTTCATCTTCCTCTTATTAGCGACATTTAGATGTTTTTTTAACCATTCAAAAGCTGTAAAGTTTTGTTTTAAATTGGTTGCGTTCACTTGACATCACAATATTCTACAATCCCTATTGAGACTCTGCAGTGACATCACACTGGGGGTGTTTTACATGTATGTGTATGGCAGACACACATTAGCAAACACTGTCAAAAAGGTTTTAACTCGAGAAAAATCAAACAAAATGGATTTAAACATATTTTCAGGAACCTGTGATCAATACCTCCTTTAGGTGTTTGATTATCAACAAAAACGTGGGCGTGATATGTGACTGTAATTTTATGTCTGAGAGATTTATTTAACAGTAAAAATCATTTTACCTGTTGTACTTCCAGCTAAATCAGCTTTCTTTCAGGTCAGATTATTTTAAACAAAACTCAGATTGTCTAACAAAGCTTCAGACAGAGCAGTGCCAACAGATAGCAACACACCCCAGGGAATGTTAATGACATCAAGTGCAAAGTATAAATAGTTTAAGACTGAGCTGGAGAGCAGGTCAGGACTCTGTGCTGGAGTTTGCTGTTTAACTGTCAGATTGTAGATTTGCTGATCTGGTTCAATGTCTCTGTCATGTCAACATCTTCTCTGATAAATAAACAAAATGCTATTATTGAACCCCAAATACGTGAATGTTGTCAGTTGCAGTGACTTTAAACCATGAGATGAATAGGCCTATTGCAGATTTGTAGTCCCTGTCCCAAACAAATAAGTCGAAGAGTCAACATTTGCAGATCATAAGTTTCAAAAACAGTAAACCTCCCCTAGCACTACAATCAATCACAAAAGATTAAGACCTCATCAAATTCTAGAACATGAACAAACTTATTGATACTTATTATTATTATATATACTTAATTAATTATACTTATTGCAGTAATATCACACTGGGGGTGTTCTGCATGTATGTGTATGGCTGAATGTTCAGA